GAACTTGTACTTTAAGATGTGCATGATGCAGGAAGTAGTTCCAAAAGCACCTTGAATTTAATAAAAAAAATTGAAATAAAAATTAGTGTGGCTCCACCCTCCATGATTTAGAGCCGGACCAGATTGCCCTGCACCTCATCTGCATATAAGTTTTTGGAAGATCCCAGGACTCATGACAAGAACACCCATTTGCAGTCATGAGTGGGGGGGCTAGCTAATTAGCACATGGATTTTTGGGTGGGGAGGGAAATCAGGAGTACGCAGACATACACTCACTGAGGAGCGCTGAGCTGTTGGCTCATCATGACTTGAAATGCTGCTGACTCTGCAGGGGCCCAGCCCAATGAACTACATAATAAACTACGGGCTTTGGACTAATATTATGCATAGTTTGTATTTTATATAAGTAGGTACAAAAGTGCTGCTTAGAAGTGCATGTATGAAGTATCTGCGCTAAAACCTGGAGCAATTTTTAAAAAGGTAAAATGCATCATTCTGGATGAACTAAGTCTATGGGTACTATATGCACATTACTACAAGTAAGTTTATGTCAAGGTCAGCATTCAGAGCAGGGTCTGACAGTGAAGGAGGGTGAGGAAGGAGCTGCAGGGGCAAGAAGCTGGTGCAGCAAAAGGGCCACCTGATCCCCCCCATACTTTTCCCTGCTGTAACAGTGGGAAGGGGACAAATTTAAGGCAAACTTCCATTAATTCAATTCTGTACCTGGAAAATTAAAACCAATTTATAAATTTTATGTATAGAGAATCTAATTATTGGGGAGTCATCTTATATTTAAAAAATAAATAAAAATTAGCAACAGTGATCATATAAGTCTCCTTTAGTCCACTTTACATCTACTTAGGTACCTTTCTGTTAAGCAAGGCCCAAATCAGCAAAAACTCCACAAAATTATAAGTGCAGTCTTCTGAGCACCAGGAAAACAAACCTATTGACCACCAATTTCTTTAGTATATTCTGTTTCCAGTATCTCAATACACTAGTAATAAAGAACTCCTGCTGCTATTTTAAAGACTATATTCTTAGGGAAAAACCTCTCTCCTGGCCCACGAACAGACCTACTGCAGTGGACTAGGAAAAAGCAGTATCATTTAACAACTGTAGTCCCTAATTTGTTAACTAACAGAAGACACTGGAAGTAGCAATTTTTTTTTAAACTTAAGAAATAAGGCCAACTTTAGTGTTTGGCAGGCAAACAGTAATTTCACTTACTTGAGGGCTTATAAATACTCACTGGCAATATGGGATTCAGATAAAGTATTTCAGTTCTTGAGAAAGGAAGGCCTCTTCCACCTTCATATCACACCCACTTCACAATTGTGGTAAACTGATACTTATCTAGTACACTGAACCACAGCAGTGACTTGTCACAGCAGAATAACCTCCCTAATACATAAAAAGTACAAACACACATACTAATCTCTTTATATTTGATATAAAACTATGAAGTTGTCACAACCCAAGGGTGCGATTTTGTTTGTGCGCGCTTTGGCACTGCTAAATTATTCCCCGCCACTAGGAGCTTTCTTTGCAGGGTGCGTTTCTTAGTTGCAAAGAGAAATACACAGTGCAAAGGAGTTCCCGCCATTCGCATGCAAATTTGTGTCCCACTATTGGCCAGTTCTAAATTATTCCCACGTGGCGGCCAGCGATTGGCTTGCTAGCCGTATAAGAGGCTTGAGCAGTTTCCGCCCAAATTGGAGAACTCCGAGGAGAACCCCTGCAAGGGAGGACTCCATAACCATCTGGAGGAGGAGAACTTCACGTCTTGTGAAGATCTCCAAGCGTTGCGGAGCCTATCGAACCCAGCGCAGGCTATAGGGGTCTGATCAACCTCTGGCCTCTCCCCGTCGCCAAACGATCCCTCGACGAACCCCTTCCCTGCGCGCAAGTTCCATGGAGCCTAGTAAACTTTGTGTGAGTGTATCCAGAGCTCTGCCCGGGTTCGAGTCCTGCAGGTTTATCTTCCCGTCGCCGAAAACCCATTGCGATGTACTCTCGTGTTTTGCATCTTCCCGTCGCCGAAAACCCCTTGTGACGTACTCTCGTGCCCTGCAGGTTCGAGTTTTGTTTTGTTTTGTAACTGCAACTCAAGCAAGTTTTCCTGCCTGCACCGCGACCATCTTCGGTGTAAGTAAAATAATCTTTAATCAACTGCTAAGCATCCGTGCCTAATTCTAGCCCGCCGGCCTGCATTCCCCGACCCGGCGTGTCCAGGCTGCTGGCCACAGCCCGCCACGCACAGGCCCCCGAGGGCCTCGGACCGCTCCCAGCCCGCACAGAAGTCACTTAAAGTGCTATGTTAAAGTTCAAGTTTGATGAAGCTGTGAAACCTAATTTTTGTATGTTGATGGAGATAAAATGGTTTTCATGTGTGCTAATAGCCCTGTAAAAACATGAAGACAGAAAAAATCCTCAAGTCCTTCCTATTAGTTTATTTCCAGTCTCTTCCATTTCTGGGTAAAGGGAAAATATTCAGTCACAACCTTAATTGTGACTAGAGCAAAACAGTTTACTAATTATCAAAGGTAACGCTATTAGAGACAGGTTAACCTGCAATGCCACTAAAGGTATGTTACAGCTCTTCTTTTCTTTTTGCTGTCTACAAGGTTTGGAAAAATATTGTTCTATTACATTGTAGCTAACTTGTTTATCCAGGTATGTTTGCAGGGAATAGGAAAAGATCACTTTCTATACTAAAGAGTATACAATGTCTGTACAGGATTATGTTTACAGACAGGAAGGTCAGTGAACCTTTAATTCCATGGCAGTATGGCTTGTTTTCAAATGAGAAATGTCTGAATTGGCCTTCCACAAATTATACAGGAAGGCAGTTATTCTACAGGATTGTTTCTCTGTCTATTAAAGTCCTTGCAGATACAGAGAAAACTAAAAATGGAATTTACTGTCAAATTTTAAAACTTACTCTTAAAGATACACTTCCAAGAAGGCAAGATCTCCTCTTAAATTGATAAAACTTTTACTTTATCTAGAAGCAACACTTGCTTTGCTGTCAATTCACTTGAAAAAATTGAAGGCCATATTCAAGACAATTTTACATGACTCTTTAGGACCACCTAAACAATGTATTTTTAATAACGTAACTATCAGGGCTTATAACAGAATTTTCACTGCCTGAAAACTAATGTAATGCAGCACTCACTACTTGACAGACATCTACACCTGTACCATTCAACTTCTTTTTGGAAACCTGTCTGTCATATTACCGTTACAGTAGGAAGGGCACTCAATGACAGAAAGAGATAAACTATATTTAAAAGAGAGATTGGTCTTGCACATGGGTCTGAAGCTAGGCATATGAATATCTGATAACATCTCCAGCATGTAGAAGCTGGGTGGATTTGATTTTCATAGACATTACAAATTTCATAGATATTAGGGCTGGAAGGGACCTCGTGAGATCATCAGGTCCAGCCCCTTGCCCAAGGGGAAGGCAATCAGCTAGGGTCAAAGGATCCCAGCAAGATAAACATTCAAATGTTTCTTGAAAGTGTCCCGAGTAGGTGCTTGCACCACCTCTGGGGGGAGTCTGTTCCAGGCCTTGGGAGGCTTGGACAGTAAACAAGTTTTTCCTTATGTCCAGCCTAAAATGGCTTGCAGCAGTTTGTGATCGTTGGACCTTGTCATCACCTGGGGTGCTCTGGTGAATAGGTGTTCCCCCAGATCCTGATGTACACCCCTTATGTACTTATAGGCTGCCACCAAGTCACCCCTGAGCCTGTGCTTCTCCAGGCTGAAGAGTCCCATAGCTCCCAGCCTCTCTTCATAAGGCCTGTTCTCTTGCCCTCTGATCACACGTGTGGCCCTCCTCTGGACTCTTTCAAGTTTCTCCACATCCTTCCTAAATTGAGGAACCCAGAATTGGATGCAGTACTCCAGCTGCGGCCTCACAAAGGCCGAGTACAGCAGAAGGATGACATCCTGGGTCTTGCTCGAGATGCACTGGTAGATGCAAGCCAGTTTTGTTCACTCTGCAAACTAAGTTTAAAGCAAATTGATTTAAAATCACTGGTCAGGAAGCCTCAACTTAATCACTGTTTTCTACAAAAAGTGCATTCTTGTTGTTTGATATTTTTTATTTATTTAACTTCTTGAAACTTTTCACGTTTAGAGAAAGGCAAGGGATTGACTCTGTGTACACAAACTTAAAGAGAGACAAGAGGGCTAACGGGTGGGTAATAATCAGGTCTGTTATCTCTCATCTCCATGTACTGCTGTTAACAAGTATGTTAGCTCTGAAGACACAAATCCACAGTTTGAGAACTGAAACAAAGCATCACAGAGATGCTTAATGGGATCTTCTAGGCTGAGCGCCGAGTCCCATTGCGCACAGCGGTTTTTTTTCCGTTTTAATCTTTACTAATCTATAAACGAGCCTCTGGGAATTCCATAAGATTGGGCCCCTAATATAGCCCATGGCCTGTTGTGACCTATTTATAAAACTGTTCTAAAAAGGTTGCATTAATATATTGTCTCAAATAGTATACAATTAGGAGTTATAATCCCTGGTCCATGATGGTATATTTGAGCTTTAACATATTTTAAATTAAAACTCTCTTTATATAGGTCTAATTTTTTTAAAGTATCTTAACAAAAAAAAAATTATAATTAAAATCAAACAAAATCTGATTTGAATAGAAAAAATCCAAATTTTAAAATCACTGATTTTTATCCACCTTGTACAGAAGTATGGGCACTAGAGCTGAGCAAAGAATCCTCAGCTGAAAGTTTTCAGTGAAAAATGCAGATTCTACAACACCAAGAAATTTCACAAAAATGTCATTTTCTTCACAAAAACCAGGCAATTGCAACAACAACTAAGGAAGCACCTGTTTTTTCATTTCATCATCTTCTGGGTGCATAGCATTTTTAGATTACTGAAATAATTTTAAAAAGTATTTGGCAATATGTTCCTATTTTACAGTTGCATTAAGACCCCACAATATGAGATTAGTACTTACTATTCCAAAACTAAGATCATCTCAGTTGCTGTCTCATAAACTTCATGTAAATTAATGACCCAGAGGTTGCACTGTGCTAACTCAAGCACTGCAATTTCATGTATTATTTCCATCCGACAATCTTTGCCTTTTCTTCTTTTTCTCATAAATTTTGCTGCAAACTCTTTTTCTGTATCTTTCTGGACACATTTCTTCACCACTGCAAACTTCCCCCTGGAATTAAAGAAGAATTATTAATAGGTTATAATTATTGTAGGTTTCTTAAATCAGAGAAGACTCATAAAAATAGGGCTGAAAGGGACCTCCAGAGGTCATCTAGTCCAGCCCTTGCCTAGTTTGAAGTTTGACTGAGGACCATAATGCTCAAGATTTCTGAAAAATCGAAAACAAACATAGGGACACTTAAAAGTATGTCTGAGTTTTATAAATATTACCCTGTTCCACTTAAATGAGAACCAGTGCTGGAACCAACATCCCAGATGAGGGAACTGTAAGTGCACCCACTGAATATAATTGTAACTACAAATATTAAGCACTTAACTAGTAAATCATTAATTCCAGAAACCACAGGTTTCCGGTGTAATACACAGATCAGTTGGAGGCAATCCATATTAAGGAGATAAGATAAGCATATGTTCCAACACTTAATTAGAAAAAAAATCCTACTCCCATTTCTTAAAATAAACAAACACAAATCAGCAGACTTAAAACTAAGAATAAAAATTTACTTTTTGTTTTAGCAATGTCTAGATTTCAAATCTTATTTTTGTATATGTATAAGCATAAAGCTTGAGAAAAGAAAAAATACCCACAATCCCAAGAATTTTTACACACTGTAGCATCTACAATCCAAAGAATTTTACACACACAGGATCTCTCCCTTCTCCATCAGAAAGAGACAGTCTCAAATCATGTCCACTCCTTTGCTGGTCAGGTACTTCTCTTTTCCTGGATTGTATTTCATAAACAAAAAACGAATTCCATTTAGCTACCCGTTACTCGGGTAGCTCAAATGTCAGATGTCTATACAGTACATCTCAGTGTCAGTACGATACCAGTTTCCTTCTGAAACCTAGTACATCACATACAAAACTACCTTAGAGGAACACAAATAATGCTGCAGAGTCAGAAGTGCTCAAAAGTTAGGAAGCGCTTGTGCAACCATTCTCAGCTCCATTCTGTGTATGCATCCTTAATCACATACTAATTCTCCATACCTACACCACATTCAGCAAATAGGATGGACAATGCTGACTTAATGAACAGCTATTCAGTATTTGGTATTATTCTTATTTCCCTTATTCACTATTACTTTATTCATAAAGTATCTGAGACGCCTAGGACGCATTTTTTACCTAACATTACAGGTAATACTCTGAAGGTATCAGAGATAAAATTTAGTCTTTTTTCCAAGCCCAAACCCAGACTGATTAGTTGGGCAACAATTTCTCCATGCCTGGATTGCTCTGTTATGTCCCGTGTCATATTCAATATAGTCTGGTAGGTATCCTCACTTCTCTGGTTGGAGTTGTTCCTCTGCATGTGGAAAGAGCAAGAAAGAACACGACTCTCTAGTCTTATGGTTAGGGGCCTCTCTTAAAAGGCAGGAGATGCAAGTTTCAATTTGTTCAGACAGAGCATGAATTGAACACAGTACTTAATTAAAATTTGTAATAAAAGAAATCACTCTGACAAACATAATTACTGTACTATATAAAGCCAGTGACCTGTCTAACCTAGTATGCAGTCTGGCAAAGATGAGCACAGGGCCAGATGTTTCAGGATTAGGTACAAGAGATTTCATAACAGACAGTTCTGGAAAAGGTAAGGAGAAGGTTTCTGCTTAAATCAGTCAGTTTAGAGATGCTTAATGAGATCAAGAGATTAGGGATAGACCAATAGAGATTTTTGGGGCCGATACCAATGGCCGATTTTTAAGGAGCCAGATCGGTCAATACCAAATCCGATTCTGATATGCAGCTGGGTAGCTTGGATACCAGTGTTGGGCTGGTAAGATTAGTGTGGGGGGAAGGGTTAGAGGGAGGAAAGGGGCATGGTGGGGGGAGCAGATCGAGGCCCCTACAGTGAGGCGTAAGCGGCTCGTCTGGGGGGAATACTGGGGGGGTGGCTCCTGTTGATTTGCACAACCCGGGAGGGCATGGGGGGCGTGTGCCCCTAGATCTGCGTGTGGGGCAGGGCGGGCTGCTGCTGCAGGCTGGGGCCTGGCCTGCACCGGGCTCTTCTTGGTGGGGGGCTGGGATGAGCTGTGCTCAGGACAGTTGGCGGCAGCGGCACTGGGAAGGTGGTACGGGGGCAGGGGAGGATGATGCAGCCACCCCAAAATTTGCTATACCCC